TTTTTAAGAGAGAGTGAGAGAGGAGAGAGAGAGAGAGAGAGAATTTTTTAATATTTATTTTTTAGTTCTCGGCGGACACAACATCTTTGTTGGTATGTGGTGCTGAGGATCGAACCCGGGCCGCACGCATGCCAGGCGAGCGCGCTACCGCTTGAGCCACAGCCCCAGCCCCATTTTCCATTTTCTATACGCAACCATGTCCAAAACTTTTAGCTTGATTCTATTTTTACTTCTATATCTTCAAATAATGTACCTATATTGCTACTTCGTGATTTTTAAAGTCTTAGCCATTATCTATTAAAAATGAGATTTTGGGCTGGAGTAATATAGCTGAGTTGGTAGAGTGCTTGCCTTGCATGCACATGGCCCTGGGTTTGATCTCTAGCACCACCAAAACAAAAAACAAAAAACAAAAAAAAACAGGTTTCTTTTTTTAATCACTGTCACCTCCCATACACAAAGTCTACAATATACACATGCACACTTCTCAAAATCCCAGATTCCTAATCTAGTTATATTTTAATTTAGGTTAGATCAATATTCATGGTTTATATTATTATAACTGCATAAATGCTAGTTATAGCTCAGTCACATTGCATATTCTCTGATTACTCTGACTCTTCTGCATAATATTTTGTTAAATTTGAAGTTAATATTGTGTTCCTTTTTTAACAGTTTTCTATGAACCAATCTTTAACTCCATAGTCTTCACTCTTTCAATCTTCTCTGAATATGTTCATACACTTCACAAATTCTATTTAATCTAGGGGAAATTACAACCTCAAGACTTCTGACCTATTCAAATTTGCATTCTTGCACCATCATCCCAAGGTACTCCTTTGCCTTTACCATTTGCCATTTGCCATATCTTTTATTTTCCATAGTCTATATTTTCTCTTCATTTGATTTAATCTCTAATTTTAGTGGCACACAATCTTTAGCAGCTATCTCAGACAGGTTGTGAGAAAAATACTTTTTTTGAGATTCCTAATTTCCAAGAATAAGTGTTAACTTCATGTTCTGTTGATAGTTTTGCTGGGTATAAATTTATACATTGGAAGTGTTTTTCCCATGAGACATTGCTCCATTGTCTTCTGGGCCTTGGTGCTTTATCAATCTGGCAAGACTCCTATATTTCTATTGTGCCTACATCCATAAAGCTGAGCACTACTGAGGAAAAACACAGGTCAAGAAGTCTGATTCATTAGAAATGTATCATTATCAACATCAATTGGACTCTCAAAAATGACAGTCCATCCTTTTACAGATAAAAGTATATTTTAGAACCTCTCAAAAAAGCAAAGTGAAACAGCTTATTTCCTTCAAATCTCATAGCAGAGAACCTTAATTTTTATCTTATGGGAAAATAAAAGCCCTTAGATGGGAATTTCCTTATATTCTAGAAGTGAAACCTACAAACTGTCTTGCATTTGTCTATTCACCTAATGAGCTGTTTTTTATTTTTATTTTTCCTCAGCTTGTGACTTGGAATCTATTCTGTTCATGTTCTCAAAGTCTTATAGTATCTATTCTTTTTTTGAATAGGCAATTTCTGTTAACTGAATCTTTTCTAATCATCTTTAAACATGCTCAAACCTTCAAAAACCAGCAAGTTAACCATTCAACCAACCAACGAAACAATAAACAACAAACAGTACTCCATCTATCATATTATTTTTAGCTCATGATCTCTCCTTTCATTAACTGTGTCTACTTCACCATTCCATTCTTCTTTCTTGCTAAAGTCTTATTGACCTTAATAAAAATGTTGGCTTCCCTTATAGTACAGAGATATCCATACTTTAATTTCTGAAACAGATTTTCTCCTGGGCTTATACAACAAGATGTTATGTGTTTTGATTTTCATTCTTCTTTCTGCTGCTTCTGTTTTCTTTCACATTACACTGAACTCTATTTAACCACTAAATGTCAGAATTTTAAAAAAAGGTTCTTTCCTTGGTTCTCTTTTTTTCCTGCTTTCCTCAGATAGTCCTACTCACACATAAGGCTAAAACTGTCACCTATAACTATATAAAGAACTAACTTCTTTGGCCAAGATCTTTTAACTGAACTCTAGACCCACATATGAAATTACATACTTGACACAACTTCTTGGAGGTCTCAGTGGTGCCTCATATTCCACATGCCCAGCTCAACTCCATGATCTCTCCTTCACAGTAATTCTCTTCCATTATTCTTTGTTTCAATTAGTGGCACCCATATCTCTCTGATTATGTTAGCCAGAGCACTACCAAAATTCTTGACATTACCTTTCCCATCACTCAATATCCAACTTACCACCAATCTAATTGATGATACCATAAAAATATTTGAATGTTTGTCTTTCCATCTTTACCATCTGGATAAGATGTTTGTATGAGGTATTGAATCCAGAGATACTTAACCACTCAGTCACATCTCCAGCCCTTTTTATTTTTCATTTTGAGACAAAAGGTGCTCAGAGCCTTGCTAAGTTGCTGAGGCTGGCTTTGAATTCACAATCTTTATGCCTTAGCCTCTGGAGTTGCTGGGATTATAGGCATGTGCCACCATGTTTTTCTTGATAGTGTCTTAATTGGTCCAACTACTTCTATTCTCTCTCTGAATCTGTTCTCCACACCATAATGACAGTCAAGTTTTTAAAATACAAGTTTAAGAACATCATCTTTTACTTAAAGCCTTTGTATAAGTTCCTTTTGTTCTAGGGATAAAAACAAAAACTTTTTCATTTGCTCTATGGTGCTCACATGCTCTACCTCTTACTTTCATCACCTTCCTCAGTGAATACCATCTAATGTCTTGTTTCCAGTCATTCTGATTTTTTTTAGTTCCATAAACTGAGTTATATATACTGCCTCCTCTGGCTACAGGGTCTTTGCTTGTGCTAATCTTGTTGACAGTAAGAATAGCTTACTGGCTAAGTGTAAAGCACCTGAACACAGTAGAGTCTCAATAAATATTTGTCAACAGAAAAGATGGTAAACATCCCTGATGGAAGGCAGTGGGGCTAGTCCTAGACAGACCCTTTTGGTGCCGAAACTAGTGTCTTTCAGAGTAATCAAATAAAAATTAACAAGTCCAGAGAAGGAACACGTGGTAGTAAATGAGAGCAGTGAAAGGTGCATCTGTTTTCAGTTCATCAGAAGGTCATTCTGAGTAGGAAGGTTCTCTGTCTAACAAGACAGGATTTTGTGGAGATCATGTACTAGACACATGGGCCTGGGTTTGATTCCTGCTGCATTATGTGCAGCTGTATGACCTAAAGTTACATCTTTTAACTTTTCATAGTCTATTTCTTCATCTGTAAATTACACTAAAGTACCCCGCACAGAGTCAAATCTTGTTAACAAGACACTGAACCTGTAAACATTTTGATCTACCTTAAGCATATTACATTCACAGGCCCATGCCAATGATATGGCTTGCCCCACAGGTAAGCCAGTAAGCCTGCCTCCACTGAGTGACAGACTACTATCTCCATCCTCCTCCCAGGAATAAAAAAAATCTTTTATGCTTTTGGTCACAAAATAAAAGAGGGTATGAATCTGTATGAGCTTGGGAGGAGAGTTCCAAGGGGCACACCTGGTGTAAGGGAGTTGTCTTCTCTTCCCTGGTTCTTCATATCCAAGTTTGAAAGAGGCAGTGGGTGGACTGGCTCTGCAGTTAGGATCAGTGGTTACCAGCCCTCAACTGTGAGACTGATCTTGAGAACAGAAAGGAGTCCTCCTTCCCTGACCAGACAGCCCTGTCCAAAAGCCAAGTGTATCCAGCTAACCACCACTGTGATCTCCCAGCCTCTTTTCTTCTTCCCCCCTTTTTTTTTTGATCTGTTGAGTCCATTCCTTGAGAATTACAAAGAAATATCACGCCTTTCTCCTTCCATTCAAGGGAAGAAAAAAAATCCCCTTTCCTAAGAATAAAAAGATTTAAGTCTCTAGTCCACCTCCTTTCTAGTGGGTCACTTTGCTGAGATAAAGACTCTGGGTTTGAACCTTGACTGGAAGAATGAGTTACATGTAAGCTGTCCATAGTGATGTTTGTGAAAGATGAAAGTCTTTTTTTTTTTTTTTTCCTCCAAACCTTCTCTCTTCTCACTCCTCCTGTTCAAACTTGTGAAACACACTGGGGCTGTGAATTTCAGGATGAACTGGGGGTGTTTGAATCGAACAGGAATTGTATACGCACTCCGTGTGCATTCCATGAGTATGCATTGCTTCAATTTGGCCTATGTCTGTTTGGAGGAGGACTTTGAGATTATGCACGGGGCTGGAATTTGTACGTGGAAGTGTAGAAAAGTGGTAGGGTGTAAGTGCAGTGTGTGGATGAGGAATCCTATGTGCATTCAAGAATGTGCTGCGCTTGTAGTTGAGTGAAGAGCTGTGAGAGTACTTGAGCGTGGCAGGCATGATATGTGTAGGCGCAAAAAGTAGTAGTGTGTACGTGTTCTGTGTGTGCGCGCGAGTGTGAGTGAGCGCCAGGGGCCGTCC